ACAAGTTTACATATTTTAATATTACAATATTGCGTTTTTTTGTTTGTTTTTTTCATTAGGTTTTCAAATGGACAGGAGACAACATGTTCTTCATTAAAGGCGACATGGATTCCCTTGCTTTTGGTGGAGGAGGGTGGGTTATCATTTGTCATTAGGAAGAATCTCAACTGTTTGTGTGCATCTTTGCACCTTTAAAAAGAATTCAGAATTTATTTCAGTTTGGTATCTCATTGCTCAGAAGTTACCATTTGAGAATGATCTAGTATGTCTTATGCTTAACTTCTAATGTTTAGTAGACTTAGGAAGGACTTCTGTCATCAGTGTAGTTGACATCAAGTTTCAACCATACAAGGCTATCATACCTTAAGTGCTCTAACTGCATGTGTCCTGGTATATTCCAGATGGACACAAGTTACTTAAGTTTCTGATGCATGTGATTGTGAGAAATATCTACAATATACAGAAGAAGGGGCTTGAATTTAAATTTTACTATCCCAAGACATGTCAGCATCTTCAGAAATTGATGTCTCATCCCTTTTTGCAGCATTCTTCTCACTGCTATTATGCCAGTTTCTTAATACAAAATGAAGGGGATGAAAGCTGCATTATTCTGGTTAACTTTTTATTCTGTATATTCAGAAAAAAGTATTCTTAAAATAAGGAAGAAAAATCTTTGCAGCTTTAAGTTTATTAACAGCTAGGAAGAACCTGTGTTGATTTCTATTCTATGATTTTTTTTGTTTCTAAATTATGAATGAAAAAAATGCATTTAAAAGTTTGTTAACTCCCTCAATCTTTTGCTTTAATATGTTGTATGTCTTGCAGTGGGGAATTTGCTCTTTGGCTTGATGGAGATCTCTACCATGGAAGAAGTCATTCATGCAAAACATTTGGGAATCACACACTTTCTAAGAGAGAAGACTTCATTATTCAAGACATAGAAATTTGGGCTTTTGAATGAGTTGTAAATGAGAACTGTTTCTACAGGGTATTGTCCCAAACCTGAAATTAATCAATGCAGCTTGAAATCCCCAATATAATGCACCAGTTTACTTTTTTTTTCTTTTGTAGTTTTCAGCGTGGCCATTTAGTTATTTTGCAATAGTGGACTTTTTTCATGCTTCTTTGTCTGCAATATACTGTCTTACTTTTTCTAAGCTGTAGAAACAAACAAAAAAAAAAACAAATGCAGACTGTGGACTGAAAAAAAGAACATCAGTTACTTCGATCCTTGCAGTCTATAAAACTTCATCGTCTTTTTACATTTGCCTCCCAGGTTTCCCACACACATCTTTCTGTAAATCCTACTGGGGGCTGCTTCATTGAATATAGGTTATTATTTTTGTATTTAAATTTTATCTGAGAATGAAGTTGCCCTCTATGATGTATGTAAGTAGAAAGCTGCGTGTAGGTACTTGGAAGCAGTACTGCCTTGGTTTGGACCAACAACGGATAATACTGTTATGGTGCCACAGAGGAGAAGCCTTGCATTCCTTCTTTGACACATACTGGTACACTTCTGGTTGAGTTAAAAGACATCAAAAGTCAACAGTGCCATTTGTCTCAATTTTTTTTTTTTTCATGTTACGAAAGTGAGTTAAACAATGTGTTCTAGCTTGCATGATGGCTGTATTAGTGTTCTGCACATGGTGTTAATGATCTGCAGGTTTGGGACAATAACTGACAATATTGAGCTACATGGCAAAGACTTAAAATAAATAAATAAATAAAAAATAACAGTAATAATAATAATAAGGGAATGTAAGATTGTAATAATTCCAGGAAACTAAAAGGCTAAGGCAAGTGAAACTCAAGACAATTTGTAGCTATAGTAGGGCATTAAAAGTACAAAGACTATGAAACAAATGCATCTTTCAACATAGTGTCAGATATATACTGTTATACTCTTGTAGCTGTGTAGCACATCAACTCCAAGAATATAGCTTATTCCTGTCCAAAGAAAAAATAATTGTGATGTTTTTTTGAGTGAGTCTATGTTGTAAATTTACAGTTAGCACCAGCTCTGATTAAAATGAGACAATGTACTATAGGTAGACAATATTGTAATTCAGTAGACTTGTGGAATATGCAAACTTACTGTCATGTGACCTCAAAAAATGACAGACTAGTACACAGTTCCAGTAGCTCTTGTCCACTTTTGTAGGAAAGTTGATAAGCCATTGTGGCAATAACAGCTCAACAAAATTGTTTGTTTCAAAGCTTTTAATCTATGTTCTGCAAAAAAGAAAAAAAAGAAAAAAATTGCTGTTAAGTGTGACAGTGACTGACTTTGTGCTGAAATTTCAGCTATTTCAGATAAACATTGTATATTATCTTGTAAATTAATGTTTAAAGTAGTTTTGTTATTATAGAAAAGTGTTGATTGACGGGTTGCTTATAGCACTTTAAATTATTCTAGAAATGGAATAAAGGCCAAATGAGTTGGCTTAAGTAGATGTAGTTGTATATTTCAAAATACTTAGATATTGGAAAGTTTTAAAAATTTATTTGAAGACAGTTTACTGCTATGGTAATGAGAAAGGGCAGATGGTTCATCTTATAATATGCTAATGCTCTATATGAATAGGAATACAGGGCTTTGTTTCCTGTCTCTGTGTATAGCTCTTTATCCTTATTAGAACTTAGTACAATGTGTAGACTAAATGTTTACAAAATAAGAAAGTGTAAATAAACTAAAATGGCTTTTCTCCCTTTGGTCTTCCACAGCAGTATTATTGTCTTTGTGGAGTTAAGACTGATTATTGCAAAAAGAGAATCCTGTAATGGATTTTAAATACTCTAAGGTCACAGTGATGTATAGCAAATAAATCTAAATCTATGTACAAATAAACTTGAGTTGGGGTTTATTTAGAAGTTGGAGCTCGCTTAGGAGCACAAATGCAGGTTATTGTTAATTTCATAACTTCACAGAATTTATAGAATTCAGTTGCTCACCCTTAAGCACTAACGATCATTTCTTACTCTTTTGATGTGCAATAAGTATTTAGAAAATGTCTGGCCAAAATCTGCAAGAGTGTTAAGGAGGGGGAGCAAAAATATAAGTGCAGCTGGTTTTGTTTTTTCAAGAATCTGTGCCTTTGTTAATGTCCTCTTTCTTTCTAGTAATATCAAAAGATAAATGGCTACTAGAAGTATCAGATAGAATTGTGTGAGTTAGAAGGGGCCCCTGGAGTTCTTAACTTTGCAATTAACTCAGCTAAATAATATTGTCAACAGTTTCAGTCTACATTTCTGTAATGCCCTGGGAGGCAATATTGATTCATAAAGCAGTATTGGTTGAGGCAGGTCCCCTCTTTCCATGCCTGAACTGCTGCTTGCTCATCTGCTGCATGCATAAGATCGCACAGAATACATCTGATATATTAGGGAAAAAGAGAGAGACTTTCAAGGTTGTCTCCCCTCAGTCTTCATTTTTGAAAGCCCAATGGGAGGTGGTGAGATTAAAATACACTTGTCAGCCATTTTCAAGAAAACTATGATGAGCCTAATCTCTGTTGTGTTGCTTTATAATAGGATGGGATTTCTTGTGAGCAGAAATATGATGTGATTCAATTAACATTTCACAGAATTATAGCACAAGTGAGGTTGACGGGGCCCAGACCCATGCGCGCATCACTTCTGAAGGTCTCCAAGGAGGAGGCCCCTCAGCCTCAGGGCAGCCTGTTCTTCCTTGGTGGTGTATTCTTTGTACAGGTATCTAATATTCCAACTGCTTCATTTTCATGTTCCTTGAAAATCATCTTCTGATGCTTCTGACAGAGAAAGCTCCATAGGAGAATACTTTAACAGCCTGTGAACAGGAGAAGGTAGTCATGGTAGTCATACTTTAAAATAACCTATTACCGTTCTACTTCTCAGAAGATGAACGTGTATTTCTTTTCTGGTGTTTGAGAGAAGGAACCAAAGAAATGAATGTTTTATTTATAATTCATATATTCCTTTGACAAGCAGACTTTCTCAAAACAACTGTAAGGATAAGGTAAAAATATGCCAATATCTAATTATTACATTTTGAAGTCAGTTGTGCAGATCTATTTGAGTAGTCTGAGAGATCTCAATATAAATGCCAAAGAAATGCTATTGAATTCTTCTAGTAGAATGTTTTTTCTTCCTTATATTCACAACAAGTTACTGTGCCACAGATAATGTTTTATGCCAACTTACAATAAACACTTAGTAACCAGTTCTTGCATCACTTGCTGTTAAAATATATAATTCATATGTTCATTGAATGTTCAAACTGGAATACCTGTAGTCTCATGATATGTTAGCAGCATTTATTTTATGACAGGATGTTCATTCAGCCTTCTGTAAGAAAATATTTGCTCTTTCAGCTTGAATGTTCAGAGTCTTCTGAGGGGGGAGAAAACTTTTCTCATTATGCAAATTACTTATCCAAGTCTCTTGTTGTGTAACAAATGCTTTGCATAGAAAGTGTTCTTAACAGCATAGGATTTGTTTGTTTGCTCTTTTTGGTTTTTCCACGTTACACCGGTGGCATTGTGATCCATCTAATCCAATAAGCTGTATAAGCCTTATAGAGTTTTTGGATTTGGGTAAAAGGCAAAACGCAGTTTTTAGACACTAGACTGTTCGTTCATCGGGATGCATTTCTCTTCAGCCTCCCCTACTCAAATACACGATTTCAGCAATGTCAGAATAATTAAAACAACAAGTACTGTAGAATTAGGCTGGTGTTTTTGGATACTGCACAACACCACTTCCCTTGAAGTCAGTTGTTTTCAGGTCTGGAGAACACTGCTTCTGTATCTTTTCTCATAGGAGAACATTTCAGTAGAAGGTGTAATCACTTGTTCACTGTAAACATCAATACAATTACATGACTGTTCCTTTTACATTTGGTATTATTTCCCCCCGTATTTACAAGAAAGATATTTCCATAGTTATTCCCTTTTCATGTTTTCTGCATCTGTTCTAAACACTTTGTGCTTCATGGCTGATGACCAGAAGGCACAAAATAGGCTATAACTAAAAACATTTAATAAATTATATAAATTATTAAATAAAAAAGTCTTGCTTATAAAAGATTTGTCTTAGTTTCTGTGATATCTAAGAGAAAGTTGGCGGTAGCTGTCACTGCAGTAGTATTTGCTTATAGTATTTGTAAAAGAAATAAATTTGTCATTCTTGGTTGTGTACAAAGAAACCTTTTTTACATGCACTGAAATAGATTAGTTAGAAAATATGCACATAAGATCAAAAATTTGGTCTGAGTTTAGTTCATCATTCTGCTTCTGATCTGGTGTGGTTTATATTCCCTGTTTAAATAGTTGAGAGGAACTTGAATGTAAGAATAAGTTAAAATAAGTTTAAAAAAAAAAAAAAGGAATTCATTTACAGCCATTTGTGTTCTTACAGGTTTCTATATTTATCTGCTTATGTTTTTTCTTTTTTTCTTATTTGCTTTGTGTATAGTAATTAACTGAAGTGTCCTGGTAAGTTTTCCTGGTATAGAAAAAAAAAATTCATTTGGATGCTTATATTTATTATGCAACAGTTATAAAGCTTGTATTTAGAAAAATGCTCAATGAATTTTCTGTCCAGGGACTGGAGAAAATCTTATATTCCAAATGTGCGAAAGCTAATAGCAGAGGAAAGATGAGGTTTTCCAAGGCATGTTGCTCTTGGAGCATGCTTACTTTAATAAAGTAATTATGACGTTGTCATCCCTTCCTTGCCATAGCATTTCTCCCTCAAAGTCCACCAGCCCATGTTTCCTGGCTCTCATGAGAATCCCAACAACCTTATCTGAAATACGAACATATCTCTCAAAGAGTTCTCCAAAAGTGACTTGGATCTTGCCGTCACTCCGTGGCTCAGCCATGGTTTTAATGATGAAACACAGGTCTCTAATCTCCCTGTGAATGTGAGCCTCTGCTCTCTTGGCCCTTTCAGCGGTTTTGGTGCCTTCCTTGGGCCGGCCGTAGCCTTCGTCTCCTTTGTGCAGGCGTGTGGACATGGCCAGTTCGTGGTCAAAATCTTCACTGAAGGGATTCAGCTTCTGCGTTATGATGTGCTGGTCTGCCCATTCCTGCCATCTGTTCTTCAGGCTGCTAACGGGACTGTACTTCCTATGAGCTTTAATGCTTCTTTCTTTGTTGCACTTGTTCATGCTGAAAGAGACAAGGCATTTCAGCTTTGCATTTCATAATTCAATTACAATTCTGCTGCTGATCTTTTTCAATGTATACATGTATATCGTTTTCTAGAGCAGATGGTAACCACCAGGTGGCATATTTTCCTCAGTTCTAAACTAATTCTTTAGGAATCTTTAGTCAAGATTTCAGTTGGCCCTGAAAAGCAAATTCATCGACAGCTTGATTTCATCTTTGGTACTGCCTTCAAGTCTAGATTTGAGTCCAGAGTTCATATTCTCACTGGTAAGGGTGCAAGGCTGGAAGAAACTTGAGGCTACTAATCTTCAGAGGTCTTAACTGATTTTGTATTTTTATGTGTGTTTGTGTAGCAGTATCACTGAATGGCTGCAGGCAGGCTGGCTGTTGATGTTCTTTCCTCTTGTGGCCAGTGTCATGTTGTGAGAGAGAGTCTGAGCTAGTCTTTGTGCTGTCTGCATCCTGTCACTGTGTTGCCTAGAGAGTATAGTGTGCTGTGGCTATACCAAAGTAATTTGTTTTCTACTATTTTTAGTCCCCAGAAGGCTGCACTGAAACCACCCCAGTAATACCTGATTATTTTTAACAACAAAACTACAGTTATCAGAACACTGCAAGCTTGCTGCGTGTTTTGTTTTCTGCTAAGCTTGTTGAAAGAGATGAGAAAGTATGGCACAGATGTCCCCTGTTCAGGTCTGTGCACCAGAAGGTTGGCACTGCTGGGCAGTGCTGGTTCAAGTGCAAACCCCTCATGCCTAGCATAGAAGATGGTGTAGGAGATTGAACATTCTTTTCAGCTCTGGAGTTCCATTCACTTGGCTTAGCTGTATTGAGAAATTGTACTGGAAAGCTCCAAAAATACTTCATAGTCAATATGATAAAAAGCACAAGAAGAATCAGGCTGCTTTGTCTTTCCAGGGCCCTCTGAGAAAATCCTGAATCTGCAGTTCCCCATGTAGAGAGGAGAATCTGGCAGTAAGCGAGATGGCTAAGCTCTATAAAAGCTTTTTAATGTCATTTTATTTGAATTGTCTAGTGAGTTTTCTCACCTTTTCCTACTGAAGCCTTTATTTCTCTTTTCAGGCCTCCTCAGTGGCTGAGAAAAACACCCCCGTATCGATCACTTTGCTTTTATCATGCTCTGTGTGGGTTTGGAAGATCAATATTGTTAATCTTTTAATGTATTTGCTAGCTATAATTGCTAAAGTGCAGTTTTCCTCATTGCTTAAGTTGTTGATGAGTTAATGTAGTAAACTATCATAGACCTGGAATCACTTTTTTCATATCTGTGCAGCACATAACAATGGATTGGGGATCCAAATTGAAGATTGTGAGCTTTAACGTACTGTAGTAAATCAACTATGAGTAACGAGTATCCTGCATTAACAGGCTACTGTTACGCTAAGCGGTAACACTGATTGCATCCTGAACTTGCAGGAGGACAGCATCCATGTCCTGCATTCTCTACTGTTCTGTTTGCAGGAGAGGAGCAAGTTTTGAATTTCTTCTCTTCTTTAGGAGTCCCTTTGGCTCCTAAAATGAAAGAAGTAGTACTTACTAAGCCTGTGGAAGTTAACATTCATTCAATGAAGGTAAACAGCCTGATTGCAGTAAACACTGAAGCTGGAAGCCATGAAAATGCAGTTCACACTGATTCTTTTTTTTTTTTCCTGGGATATAGTATGGAAAACAGGAGATGTGCTTTAACAATCATATACTTTTGGACTTTTTGAAGATTTAATCCAACTGAGAGGTTCTTAAAAGTAACAGACTGAAATAATGTATTCTGAGGCTATTAAAGAAAAAAAAAAAAAAAAAAAAGAATAGTAGTTTAAAAAAAAAAAGAATCCAGTGCTGCTGGCACATTAAATGAAGAAAATGATTCTAGCAGATTTCAGTGGAAGGGATAGCAGTGAGCGTGATAGGATATTATTTCTGTCATTTTCACTTCAGTGCTCTTCTGTTTTCCCACAGGTAACAGGCATATGGAGAAAACATGTAAGTTTTAAAAGAAAGAAAGCAAATTTGCCTATACTGTAACATTTTTAGCAAGCAATTTGTTTTAATTGGTGTTATTTACAGGTAATATGCTGCAAACTTATCCCCTTTTCCCCCACTATCTATGTGAAACCTTTGTTTTAATGCTTTGTTCTTGAGCTCATTTCTGTAGAAGGACTGCACTGGTCTCCCAGCAGTAGGGACCACAGACTTTAAAGCTCTGGATTACTGGAGAGCTATTCCAGTTAGACCCGTAACGATTTGTTCCTTCTGAGAGATGACTGGTCTGTTACGTAGCAAAGCATCAGGAAGCGGTGTCCTGGTGCCAACCCTTGACCTTGCAGGCTCATGAGGACAGGCCCTGGCCCAGCTGCAGTTAAGCCTCAGCAAAGACTTAGCACACCCTGCCCTCAGTGGCTGTGCCCTCCTTATTCACACATTTAAAGTTAGATGTGAGGTTGTACACCAAAACAGTTCAGGCTTGATCATTCGTTCATGCCTTCTGTCTGTGCTCTGTGACATCACAGTGCTTGTGAAGCAGAGCAGTGGGGCAAATTGTGCCATATCTAATGGCTGCCTACAGCTTCCCCTTGTGAGGCATGCAGACCTTTTCATCTTTTGCTGAGAAGAGCGTGATGAATGAGTTTGGCAGCTACCCTCTGGCAAGTCTGGCTCCAGCGCAGCTGTTTGTAGCTATCTTCTGGAAAGGTTGTTCTGCTAGAGCTCTCAGGGAAACAAGAATTTCTACCAGCTTCTGCTGTTCCTTGGCTGTCTTGGGACACTCCTCAGGCTGCAGCTGAACCTTACTTGTTCATTACCTGGTTCCAAAAGAAGCTGCTGTTATGTAGTAATCTTCAAGCACAGTCCTCTTATTGAAAGAAGTCTTTCCCAAAACTGTCTGTTGCTATGATTTTGATTGCTACTTAATTCAAAATTCTTAGTGGAACTAGTAAAATCTACTTCTGTAAGTAATAGATTCTGCTTATTGCTTTTTGTTCGCACCAGTCAGAAAGTTTGTATGTCAGAAACTTCTATGTTTGATGTAAATTCTTTTTTTTTCTATTGATACTGTAGAGAGGCTTTGAATTTGAAGAATTTCAATGATTTAAAAATTCTTTTTGTCAAGTGTTTTATAACATGATTTATAAATTATAGCACAGCATGATTCAAATCAAACTTCAAGTAGTAAGAGGCAGGCTGGATGCTTTCTACTATGTATTCGGGGTCCCATTCTTTGAGCTGGTGAATTCCAATTTCCAAAACTTCCAAGGAGAAGTAGTGAACCCAGCGTTGGTTGAGATTTACTTAGCAGTAATTCCAGCTGTATCTCTTTTTGGACATTCTGTGCAAATTATGTCTAAGAATCTTTGCAGTTTGTACAAAGCAAAATAAGCATTTGGAAATATTATTTGCTTAAGAGCATTTCTTCAGACTTGGTATTTGCAGAAATAAATGAATAGCTGTGGGTTCTTGATGTGGAACAAAATGTTAATCTGGAATATAGGCAAAAACATTAAGAAATAAGTAGTGGCTTAGGTGAACTGATAAATCTAGTGTCAAATTTAGCAACATTTCCTAAATATAACTTCCCCCTTCTCTAATGTGTGTAGTCCTTGAAACCCGAGTCTATAGTCAGATATCTGTTACCAAGGATTAAGCCACTTAAACATAGATATGTGAATGGTTTTCTGGATAGGTTGTTTTCGGTTGTTGGTTATTTTCACTCTCTTTTGCATTCAAGAGAATGCTTTCTCTTTGACCATGTCCTGTGATTTTTTTTTTTTTTGGTCCTGATTTCATTTTCCTTCTCTCTCAAAGAATTTTGGTCCTGCATCATGGCCTGCTGATCTGACTATTCCTGATACTGTAACAAAGGTGTTTTACTTACAGAGATGGTTGTTTGACCTTCACAGGGATCACCTCTGGCTCAAGTCTGTCTTCTGCTTCCCCATAGCCACTGTCTTCTGCATCCATGCTGTCATAGTGGCACTTCAGCAGCAGTTCTTCCCTAGTTCCTAATTTGTCCTTCTCTTTAAAGCCCTCAATGGCGTCTGATACTCTGTTTGAACATTTTCTCCTTATAGTGGGAGATAATTTCCCATTAAGAATTTTGTCGATACCATTTGATTCTTCTTTGAACTTGGTTGTCTCTGAGCCGCCGTGGTTGTTCTCATATCTGCCACTGAGGAGGCTAACATCACTTGCTCGTTCATAGGCTTTACTTACAACAGTTTTCAGCACCTCTTTGCTTTTAATGTTGAACTTTTTAAGGGCTTCATCAGATTCTCTTGACCTTTTTTCAGCATTTCTTGCCACCAGTTCATTTGCTGAGGATTTTTCATCGTCCCTCTTGGTAGATGGAACTGGCCATTTTTCAGAGTGTCTTTCTTGCACTGACTGAGCTGATGCATCTCCTGCAGTGGGGACCCACCCAGGGGGTTCTTGGGCTTGCTTTACATTGCGGTCACTTGCCCACTGCTGCCATCCTCGGGCTAAGCTGAAGACAAGGCTGGCGGTTCGGATCTTGTGGACAGCTCTTTTCACAGGAGTCGTGTTCGGCTTCTCTTCAGGGGCCGTGTTGCTGTCTGCTGCCATTCTGCTGTTTAGGTTTCTGCTAAGTACCTCCTGAAGGAACTTTCTGAAGCAAGTAGCATCCAGCGAAGAAGCAGCAGAGGTTTAAATAGAAGCGGGAGCAGTTTGTGCCCATGGAAAGTATGTGGAACACTTGTCACAAAGATACAGTATCCTCACCATGACGGAGTTCTTTTTTTAAAATGGGTTCACGTTTCATCACAGCAGATGAATGATGCATGGTGTAGACAGGGTGACATAGGCCTGCGCAAGAACAGTGAGAAGTTCACAGCTTCTTTGGGCTTTCTTCCCTGGGACTGTTCAATTCCCAGTTTGTTGGTGAGTGACTTGGTCTTCTGGAAGTGCATAACTTGGGTTAAAGATATTAAACAAGGTGTCTGAAATGGCTCGTGTTAAATGCTGTCAGTTGCTGACGACTTTGGCCAGAGGAGAGACTGCTCAGCATCACAAGTGCAAGGTTCCCTTACAGTGTCAGCAGCCTATGAATGAGACATTTTTAGATGCACTTTCTAAAATGATACTAGGTAATTTCATTTTATTGTGCATGTATCCAAGAAAAGTAAGTTGTTTCTTTTTTTTTTTTCTTTTTTTTTTTTTTCTTTTTTTCCCTGCGAGATATCTACATGCTCTATTTTTTTCTTATCTACTTATGTCTGCATAGGAGGGCTGTAAAGATGATAAAAGCCTCCACAGGGGAAAATGAGAGGAGCGCTGAGGTCTCTTGTTTTCGGCCCAGAGCAGAGGAGCTGAGGGGAGGCCCGACGGCGGCTGCAGCTCCTCACGGGGATCGGAGGGGCAGCGCTGAGCTCTGCTCCGTGTGACAGCGACAGGGCTGAGGGAACGGCATGGAGCTGCGTCGGGGGAGGGAGGGTGGCGGTCAGGGACAGGGGCTGCAGCGGAGGGCGGCCGGCACGGCTCCGAGCTGCCGAAGCTCAAGAAGCATCTGGACGCTGCTCTTAGACATATGGTCTGATTTTTGGGTGGTCCTGTGTGGAGCCAGGAGTTGAACTCGGTGATCCTTATGTATCCCTTCCGACTTGGGGTATTTTATGGTTCTGTGATTTACAATGTATCTCTAGGGGGTCTAGGAACACTGTCGTGTTTGATGTCAGTGCTAAGAGTTAGTGAATTGCTGTTTCTAGTCCGAAGGTGAATATACGAAGTCTGACTTGATTGGATGGATGAATGACCTAATTTTTATTTCAGGCTTTGAAAAAAAATGAAGTGAAACCTATTTCATTTCTGGCTTTTTTTCAAGGATGTTGTGTACAAAAATTATAAAAAAAAAATATTTAGTTGTATGTTATTCACACCAAAATTATTCTTAGTACTTACAATATAGGAAAAAAGAAATTGTTTCTTTTTCATTCTAGAGGACTTTCTGGAGAGCAGCCATATTTGGATTTATAAAATTATTTGTTTATTCGGTGAATTGATACATCAACTGTTACATAATAATAAACAATTTCGGAGTTATAGTAGGAAATAAGATACTGTAAGACTATAATGTTTCCTAAATGGGAAACGAAAATGGCATTGCTTTTTCCATTCATCATACCTTGCAACACAGTGACTGACTTGCCATGTCAGACAGGCAAACTGAACTTGAAGGAATTCCGTTGGCTTCAACGATGGCGTACCAGAGATAAATATGGACTCCTGCTGCTCTGCTTCTTTCTCTTCTCTCTATTAAAGGCTGCACTGTTGGAAATAGGTTAGATCATATTTAGTTTCTGTTTAATAATAAAAGGCTTAATCATACCTTTGACTTCCAGGCAGAATTCCTCATTAATCTCTTGGGTCATTTCCTCTTCAAAACTGATGACATAATGTAGGTTAGTGTTGCTATTTGATATTTACTCATACTTTTTTTTAGAAAGAAATGTATGACCTCAGTATACTGTACAATCTTAGCTATTACCAGCTGCATCATAATTCTGATATGGCATTGTGAGGTGTACTGGGACAACCTGATTAAGAAGTGTGTCACTGAATGTTTATTATTTCTAAAGGCTAGTTAGGAATTGGAGCTTCTTGTGTTTAAAAGCACACTGGTGCATATATGCACAAGTACAGAGTGATGCATGTTCCTTAATTGCTACAGAAGATGAAGTTGAAAGAAGAGTATAATGTGTGTAGGATATAAAGAACACCACAAGCTCTTTATGTCATTTCCTATGATTCTTTGAGGATAGAAGTAGCCAGGACTTTAAGAATGCATTGTTACAAAATTGCATTCTGTTTTGTTCTGTTTGTTTTATATTTGGCATGATGAATCTGATTTTTAATGCCCGTTCCAGTGTTCTTGCAACTTCAGTCACAGGGTCATAGAATGGTTTGGGTTGGAAGGGACCATGACAGTCATCTAGTTCTAACCCCTGTAATTCATTAGCATATTGTTTGTTCCATTTTTGGAAATGAGCAAAAATAACAGGTAAGTTTAAAGAAAACAGTGAGCGCATCCAGTTTGTTGGAGAGTTATTGTTATTTGTTTTCATGTGGTTTTCCAGTGAATTTTGCAGATGTGACAAAAAAGAAAACCAACGTTGCATTTGCTGCACTTGCTCATCCATAAAAGATGGCTGTGTTTTGCTATAAAAAAAAGAATTAAAATCTGTTTAATGTGGTTTTTCAAGTCAAAATTGTTTGTATATCTCTTTGCTGAAGGGCTCTGCTAGATTTATTACTGTAGTTATTGTTGAGGTTCTTAAACTTCTTTACTCTCATGCCATCTCTGCACATCGTTGTCTTGAAATTCTATTCATAGTAATAAAAAAGCATTCCACTCCTTAGGAGAGTTTGGAAATTATAAGAATTTCTAAGAATTTATGAATAAAGAGAATTTGTTTTTCTAAACGGCTTTGATGTACTAATCATTGTCTCACAGACTTAGAGCTTACAAAGTTTAGATAAATGGCAGCAAAAAATCACGGACTATTGAAATTGAACACCAAGATTACAGTTGCAAACTACTATTAAATCCATGTTGCATGATAGTATGTTAAACATATGATTAGTTTAAATTTGCCACTATTTTAAGCTGAAGTTTTAACATCAGCTTAGGCCAGTGAAACTTTGAACTAATTATTCCATGACAACTAAATTTATTATATTTAATTTTAGAGTGTATAATCATGTCTTGAAAGCATTTAATGGTACCTTTTTTATATATGACATCTCCAGTGCGAAGTCAATCATGAGAAGTCTAAGTAAAGTTTGAGTCATCCAGTCATATTTATACTTGGTGGGTTGATTGCTTATGTTTCACTGCACTAAGAGTACATTTTTTTGAACATATATTCACATACAATTTTTTTAGTGGCCAATGCTACATTTCAATGTCTGTGCCTAACACCCCTACTGGCTCTTCTAAAAGCCAACAGCCAGCTACCAGGGTATGCCTCATGTTCTAATGTGCAGCAAGAAGTGGTGTGGTGACTACATTACGGACACAATTAGGCACAATTTATTACAGAAGGTGTATGGGAGGAATCATGTCTGGAGCAGGTAAATAAATGAGTAGGCTTGACATCCCGTTTTGGAATTCAGTCTCTGAGATCTTGAGACATGTCTTCTCAAGTTCTTAGGTCCTCATTGCTCCTTTTCAATTTCTGCACTGCAGTCTGATTTCCTGAATCTGTACTCATGAAGGACCAGCTGAGAGCTTGCCACTGTTAGTAATAGAAATTGAGGGTTTTTATTTGTTACGAAGCTTTTTTTTCCCCCCGTACATTAGTTGTTGTCTGCAGTTACATGTTTTTGAAAGCTGTAATGAAGAATATTATAATTAGAGTAGTGTAGAATATTAACAGTCTCTGAAGGGCTGGTTTGGTTCCTTTTTTTTTTTTTCAAGGATACTTAATTTTAGAAAAAAAGACAATATCCTTCATTCATCACTTTACCTTATCAGACATTGTACCTAAGTTATTCTATTGTTATGACATTCTATGTCAAAACAAGAAATTTCATTTTCAAACAGTTGTAAGTATATGAATGATGCTCTCTTCCTCCCCAGAGTTAGTGGTGAAGAACAAGATCAATCTGTGTTTCATGATTAAATATAACCAACTGCCACTATCAATAAGGAATTTCAAAACAACTTTCTTTTCCTCATGACACTGATAGAGCATGCTGTGTCACAACATCATACATTGTCAGTGATTACAGAAAACCTGGGTAACGAGTTAGAGTTCTGGATTTGTTTTTAGAGCTTGAGTTAAATGTATCACTTCTAACAATAGTAATGAGCAACTGTGCTTCCTTCAGCGTGGAGTCTTCTCTATAGTGCTGGTGTCTGAGCTCTAAGAAATGGACCATTCTTAAGCCTTTGAACTTAATCCACTCTTTCTTTTGTTTTTGTTTTTTAATGAAAACAGTCTACACATTTTTGGTGCAGTGTTTTACACTGATATCCTTTTATGTTTGTGTTTAACCTCTTTTTTTTTTTTTTTCTGAGATTCTGTTGTACTGAGTCATCTCTCCCTCTAATTAACAGGGATTCTTGAATCTGCATTTGATTATGTGTAATTTCAGGATTCAAATGTATGAGAGACTAGAGTTAATCCACGATCTATCATGACAGCCCTCCTTTGTGAAGAAAACGCACCCAGCAAAGTACCAAGAGAACCCTGTCCAGAACCAGACCTGAAGGACTTCATTGTGAAAGAAGGGGCTGGGAGTGCAAGGAAAAAGCCTCCATCCAATTGTGCGACTAAAGTTAATAAATTGTAGAGTACAGCCCCAAAACTTATGTCCTTCTGGGTGAGACAGACCTAAGTGAGAGTAAGATGAATGACAGAAGGCAGCCATGTGTAACGTGACCTGAGTAAAGATGAGCATTCAGCATGATTTTTTTTTTTTTTTTTTTTTTTGCTGTAGTCTGGTAGAGAGACCTGGGTGTTACAGTGAGAGAAACCCAACTCAGGACACAGAGCTGTCTCCATATATCTTCAAGCTTCCATATGTGTCCTCCTACTGAGGTGATAAGTCTCTGAGGTCTTTAACATATTCTTCCTCTAAAGTTGCCTTCAATTTACAGAGAAGGAAAAATAATGCTGTAAAGCAATTTGATA